TGCAACAGATATAAAATATATTTTAAAGTGTAAAATGGAAAAATATTAATGTTTAAAAACCCATGCACAATCTTTTTCACTTTTGTGCAGGAAAATCAAACCAATACTGCATTTAGGTAAGATTTGATTTGAAACAAAATGCTGACCAACGTTCAATAGGACAAAGGATTTTGTAATACTGTGCTCATCAGAGTGGTGCATCAAAAGAAGACAGAACCACATGGCGAACACAAACAGAAAATAAAAAGTTACACTCAAACAGGTCACACACATTTGCATGCTGCACAGTAGGGAGCAAACCCTTTTCTTGTTGAGTAGATTCTTTCTCAGAGATATAGGTGAAGAATAGTCACTGGCTTCCAAATCCTATAATCATCCAATAACATAGTGATATTGACACAATTATAGCAAAGAAAAAAGTGTATTTTTAAAGCATCCCCCCCATACCCTTTTTGTTTTCCATCTCCCAGCTCACCAGAATGCAAATAAAGCAAAATAAACAAGGCTCTGGAAAAAACAAAATGAACTAACTTGAGAATTTCTAAATTGCTGTGCCAATGTATATTACGAATAATAACCTCCCCCCACCCAAGAATACAGCCGATCTAAGGAGATGGTTTATTAGCTTTCACACCCACAGCCTTCTAAATATTTTTTTTTATTACACAATTAAAAGTTCATTTCTATTAAAATAATTATTAGGGTACTATTTTTATTTTTAGATTGATAACCTATATACTTTTAAATTTGAGAAAATACCCATGTTCATCTTTTTAAACTTAAAGCACAACTCTATATATTTTAAAGGATTCTAATAAAACCAATTATTAATCTTAATAAACAAGAGACATGAAAAAAAAAAAAACTCTCTTCCAGTTATTGACCTACATGTCAACATGATTTGAACAGCAGGGGTCAGGCTGAGCTTTACATGTAGACTCTTAAGGTTAGAATATGCTCCACAGAGCATGCAAAAATCTGTGTTATCTGTTATTATACAGTATACAATCTCATGATCACTTGGGTCAGTTTAACCTCAATGATATAAAGAAGACTGTATCATATGCCAATGTATAAAATGTTATGTCACTAAATAATTCTCTATACAAATTGGTCCAATTATATCTTAATGTAAATAAAATTAATTCTTCATGTTTCAGATTATATGTCATAATTATTTACTATCTAAAGTCACTTACAACCCAAGTACTGTTTATTTTTTCATGAATATGGAATTTTATATACTAGGTATAAATATGTAAGCCTATGTCATACTATATCATATTTTCCCAAATCCTTAAATAGTTTCAGGAATATTATTTTTGGTTGGTATCTATGGATGACCATAGTTTGTTTTAAGCTACCACCAAATATCATAGTCCATTTTTTTTTTCCAAAAATTGTTTCAATGAATATTGGATGCCTATCCCTTCTAATTTCCTTCAGATAAACTTTTAGAAGTCAAACAACTTAACCAAAGTATGTAAACACTTCTGAGGTCTTTGATCTATAATGTCAAATTGCCCTCCAAAGAAGGCATATCAATTCCCAATTTTCTTCAGCAATGCATAGAAGAGACTGTTTTCCTACATATTCACCAACACTAAGTATACAGTTTTCTAAAATATGATATTTATAGTTTTAATTTACATTTACCTTAGTACTAAGATGTCCAACATTTTTATATCTTAATTGGATTTTTATAAATCTTTATGAATAGGCTTTTCATGACCTTTTTCTATTGGCTCATTTGAAACAACATTCAGGATACAGTGAACTTTAATGATCTAAGAATTGACATTTCACAGAGGAAAATTTATTTCTCAAGAATATCATAGAAGATAAATTGCAGGTAATACCCTGTATGTTCTCGCATGTGGCATAGGAAGTTATCTGCCAAGAATTGAAAAGACAAGAAGCATGAAAGAAGCATATGGAATCAGCCAGCTGTCCACACTGCCCCGTTCACCCCCAGCACATCTTGCCCCACCCACTGAGATCTCTTGTCATTAGCTGTTGTGGAAAGAGAACAGATTGAATTGTGAATCAAGATCCTCTGACAAATAACTGTACAAAAAAAAGCACTGAAACAGAGGGTAGCATATCAGTTGCCACAAAGATAAGGATGCTTTATGCAGGCAAAAACCTTTGAACGGCTAAAAACAGAAGCCTCTTCATACACACTCAGTACAGTGATCTACTTTATTATTCATTCAAACACATTTTTCCCCTTCATCAGGGCATCTTTTCATTTTATTTGCTCTTCAAAACACTAGGACACAAAGGATGTTCTTCATCTTGTGTGCTACTGAAATGAAATCTTGAGGTAGGAAAAAAAGAAAAAAACCCTTGCCCTAAATTCCCTTTCAAAAGTGAAGTGTGAAAAGACATCAAGCAGAGTACACAGTGTTATTGTTGCAAGAAAGTCAATTCTGCAAGTACAGAGTCCAAGGCCATCAGCAGTGGCTCAATCACTTCCTCACCCACAGTGAATAATAAAAATAGAATCCAAGGAGAAAGGGTTCCACTTGGGGAAATGGAATTTCTCATTGTCCTTCCTCTTGATTATCATTAACATCTAGGGGCACAGCTGTTTCCTTTCTCTTACTAATCCTAAAGTCAATGCTATAAGATTGGCCCCCTTCTTCTGTCTCCCCAGGGCCTATTATATATTATACATCACCACAAGTCCTATTCTGAGACACAGAAATTTCAAATTTATCTTTTCATTGAGCAGCAAACTAGAAAGCCTACCTATTTGATTTAGTTTGGTACTGAGAAGATTAAAAATGATTTTAAATTTTCTTGCCTTGAGAAGTTGGTCTTATTAAACTTTCTTGGGTATATAAATGCATGTTAATTGCAAGTTTTAAGATAAGTTATAATACATAAGATAATCAAAACCAAAGATTTTTAAGCAAAATACTCAATAGTTACACACATAAATTATCATGAGCTGTCTTTTGATAATGTCAGTTTGTTTTTCAAACAGTGAAGAAGTAGGCCATCTCAAAATTCTTGACATAATTTTATAAGCTACAGAACACATATTTATAAACCAAGGTCATTATATAAGTTGCATTATAGTTTCAGGATAAAATGCATTATTTATTACTTGCATTTTTTTAAAGCCATCAAGGTAAGTAATATGCATTAAATACACACTAGAATCTTGAGCTAATAGTGATATTTTCAGCAGGAAAAATATAGTATTAGATTGACTCTTCTTAGATTCTATGTCAAAGTTTTATTAGTTCAACTAACAAAATAACTCATGGACCTTGAGAAAATTGAGACAAGATTAGATTTACATTCATAGCTCTTAGTAATCCACTGGCCTATAGAAGTCACTGAAAAATTCTTCTTTAATGAAAAGTTATACAAGGAACAAACTAACAAATCGACATAGTAATAAAGCAGTTTCCCCATGTGGCAGTTTTGTAGCAATGCAGGGACACTCCAGACTTTTAAATCATGATGTCAACTGTCCACAGGTGTAGAATGCACTCCCTGTGACTAATATTTGATTATACAGCTACATATATTCATGAAAATGTACTAGATTTATGAAGGGTATTTTTTTTCCAAATAATTCCTCCACAATCCTTTTCCATAGTCCTCCACTCACATAGTTTCCTGCAAACCTGTAAGTTAAAATCTATTTGTAAAATTACCACTGTACTGAAGAGTGGTATCATCTACACAACATATACATCTTCCACCAAATTCGCTATACTTTGATGTGAAGTGGTAAGAACAATCAAAGCCCATCTATTTAATGAGCATTCCAGGAACACAATGCTATATACAGCATACTACTGTACAAATATTCTGGTTTTTCTTTCAGGTCTAGAATGTTCTCTCAGTCTACATTCGTGTTATTCTCTTCTCTGCAGAGAGAATTCTGAGAAATTTGATGGCAATCTTTTCCATATCACATCAACTCCTTTTAGAATAAATACAAATTTCCTTTAGCATATAAAATGAGTAAGATTTCAGCTGTTACCATCAATTCCCTAGGCTCTGCAGGGGAATATTGCTTTGTGAGGTCTAGGAGTAAAGGGTACTTCGACTGTTCGAAAGGTAATTTGTATACTTGTTCTCTCTGAAGGATGCTCAGCTTACTTTGATGCTAATATTTGGTATTAAATGATTTTATAAATTGATTTTTAAAGACTTAGGCAAAAAAAAAGCCAAAGCATTTTTTTCCCTAGATGTATCCTTCCTTTACTTGGTCTCATTTCACTAAAATGGGTCTTTAATTCTAATATTCTCCGTATCAGAATTAGACTTTGGTAGAGCATAAATAGGAGGTCTGAACACTTAATCTCAGGGTATCAAACTCTGAACACTCCAAAATATGTTTTTCCCAAGGAAATACAAAAGCTCACACTATGATCGGGAAATGGATATGCCAGATTTCAATCAGAAAGCAAAACAAAACACAATAACCTGGGTTGGACTAGGCACTAAGCTATCTTTGTTTTATTCCATCATTTTCAATTATCTCAATATCTCATTTCCTTGATTTTTAACTCACTAAAAAATAGATAAATAAACTAACAAACTTCAGTCTCAACAAAGACAGAGCTCATGGAAGATAGTGTTTTCATACTTTTGTAGAAGTAAAAAGACAATAGTGCTCTCCTTATATAGCTACCCTTCTAGTCCATATTACAGCCTGGTGGTAAAATTTAGCTCTGTGTTGTCTACATATCCACCACTTTTGCACTAATGGCCCTCATTTTTAGTTTGGAAAAAAAACTGCTACTTCTGATCCCATTCTTTTATCCACAAGGTGACCAATAATAAGACAGAATTCTCATTTTTCTATCTTCAAAGGGTCAAGTCAACGGCAAACCTGCACGTTTACAAAAAAATCAGATTTTTTGGATCTAATAATATAAAAAATAACATCATACACAAAACTTCTGATGGCTATACTAAGACAAAAATAATTTGAGTATTTTGTCAGCTAAAATTCTGAAGGAAATACATACCCAAACCTTCCGATTCAAATAGACATGTTTCATCCACCCCTAAATCTCGGCACCAGGATAAGAAATTTGCTGTATTATCTCTGGCAAAAAAGGAACCTGAGGGTGCACTGGCTTTGCATGGAATCTTCTTCAGTGGCAGACTCTGAAAAATAAAGAAATTCACTCTGGTGGAATATCTGGCAAAATCCTCACAGTAACACAAAAACACATTTATGTTTTAAACAAAATACTTTGGAATGACTTCATATCAATAAATAGGTTTGTGAAAAACTATAGAAAGGAAACAAATCGCTATGAAAGTTACCTGCCAGTAAGAGGTCATAAAAATCTGTGCCTGCAAGCACATATCCTTGACTTTTTAGTATCTAGTAGTAAATACACTTAAGTCCCTTTCCTGGCTCAGGTTGACTCTTTGCTTTCTCTTCTATTACTATTTTTTTGCTTCCTCTTTGATCTAAACATTCTATCAGTATTTCTCATGAAGTATTTATAAATGTATTTCTCATTTGTGAATGAGGAATGAGAGAAACACAAATATACTATATGAAAATAATATACATGTAACACATATGCCTGCATTCTTATGTAAATACATTAACACATACCATAAAAATTACACAAGAATTATAAAGTCAAAAGAGACCAGCAGAATTACTTAACATCACAAGTCTCTATCACCAACACCAAGAAAGGGAGATATTTTAAACCTTTTAACTATAACATTCCACAGTTTTTTTTTACAAACGATTTCCTTTTAAATCACAGCGCATAGCTATACTGCATAATATAAACATTATTTCCATTCTGAGCTCTGCTATTTGAACTTGAAAGATACTATTTACATTCTGAATCATTTCTACCTGGGGAAAGAAAATGCTCACAATAAGGGAAGATGTGAACCTGGACAGACTTTGCTATTAACAGTCTCATAAAATTTTAGTCAGGAAATCTCCCTTATTCATGCAGATGAAACAATTCATTTGGTAGAATTTTGAAAAGTCATCCTCATTAGTTCAAATGAGTCATGAACCCTCATACACAGTACCTATAAAGTCCATCACATTTAACTAGGAATAATATAAAGGTAAATTGCATATTAATATGTTGTCATATATATATGAATATTATATTATATATTTAGAGAATATAAATTTAGGAATAACTCAAGAAGGACATACATCAAATTGATAAAATTATCTTTGAGGAGGGGGATTGATTGATGCATAGAGGATCATTTACTTATTTCACATAATTTCAAAAGAAATAGGATTTTGAGAAACTTATAATTTATCAATGCTTTCAAATAAAAATCTCAAAATAGGTAAATTATGTCAGGCAAAACATTTCTTAAAAAATGGATTTGCTGAAAAAAATCTCCAAGAAGTGACTGTAAAGCATTTTAATGATGTAAATAAGACAAAATCATCTTTAAGAAAATCTAAACAATGATCCACTTTAAGACTTATCACCTACATCTTTGTGTCGGGGAGAAAGAATTTTGTCAAACCACTTCAAACCAATGAATGAATCTGAGTACAGGAACTATCATCTAGGAAGTGTAAAACATTTGACACAGCTAAGGGCATGCTAAAGGGCATGACGTGCATGGTCTGTGTGGCAAAAAAGTAACACAATATCCATACTGCATTGGAGAAGCAAGAGATTGCTTTGACATTAAACTGCCAAGGGGTTCATTTTGAAAGAATACCCATAAGCAACAAGCCATCAAAATCGTTCAGCCCGCTCTCTAAGAACTTACAAGGACAACCACAGAGCATATAAATAAACATAGGATTTTTTCCCCCACTAGCTTGTGGTCTTTACAAAGCCATCTACATATCATATACCAGAGTCAAGTATTTACTTAAAATTCAATGTAATCATATTAAAAGATATGAAAGTTATTGTAAAGCAAAATGAAAGCTGGCTATTGATACTTCATAACCTGGGAGTTTCTGATGCTGAAGAATTCAGCAGTAATACTGCTCTAATCATTTCGTATTTAGATGATTTATGGTTGTTTCTGTTATGAAGCTGTTAGATTCAGTGGTCTCGTGTCAGCTGAAGACTGGTAAATGGTAAACAGTGTGAACTGAAGCTTCTAATCTTCATGCAGATGAAACAATTCATTTGGTAGAATTTTGAAAAGTCATCCTCATTAGTTCAAATGAGTCATGAACCCTCATACACAGTACCTATAAAGTCCATCACATTTAACTAGGAATAATATAAAGGTAAATTGCATATTAATATGTTGTCATATATATATGAATATTATATTATATATTTAGAGAATATAAATTTAGGAATAACTCAAGAAGGACATACATCAAATTGATAAAATTATCTTTGAGGAGGGGGATTGATTGATGCATAGAGGATCATTTACTTATTTCACATAATTTCAAAAGAAATAGGATTTTGAGAAACTTATAATTTATCAATGCTTTCAAATAAAAATCTCAAAATAGGTAAATTATGTCAGGCAAAACATTTCTTAAAAAATGGATTTGCTGAAAAAAATCTCCAAGAAGTGACTGTAAAGCATTTTAATGATGTAAATAAGACAAAATCATCTTTAAGAAAATCTAAACAATGATCCACTTTAAGACTTATCACCTACATCTTTGTGTCGGGGAGAAAGAATTTTGTCAAACCACTTCAAACCAATGAATGAATCTGAGTACAGGAACTATCATCTAGGAAGTGTAAAACATTTGACACAGCTAAGGGCATGCTAAAGGGCATGACGTGCATGGTCTGTGTGGCAAAAAAGTAACACAATATCCATACTGCATTGGAGAAGCAAGAGATTGCTTTGACATTAAACTGCCAAGGGGTTCATTTTGAAAGAATACCCATAAGCAACAAGCCATCAAAATCGTTCAGCCCGCTCTCTAAGAACTTACAAGGACAACCACAGAGCATATAAATAAACATAGGATTTTTTCCCCCACTAGCTTGTGGTCTTTACAAAGCCATCTACATATCATATACCAGAGTCAAGTATTTACTTAAAATTCAATGTAATCATATTAAAAGATATGAAAGTTATTGTAAAGCAAAATGAAAGCTGGCTATTGATACTTCATAACCTGGGAGTTTCTGATGCTGAAGAATTCAGCAGTAATACTGCTCTAATCATTTCGTATTTAGATGATTTATGGTTGTTTCTGTTATGAAGCTGTTAGATTCAGTGGTCTCGTGTCAGCTGAAGACTGGTAAATGGTAAACAGTGTGAACTGAAGCTTCTAATCTTCATGCAGATGAAACAATTCATTTGGTAGAATTTTGAAAAGTCATCCTCATTAGTTCAAATGAGTCATGAACCCTCATACACAGTACCTATAAAGTCCATCACATTTAACTAGGAATAAGGATATCTTCTCATTAGGGATTCAAAAGAGAACCTCTACTCACAGCTCACCTGAGAAGTATTGGTTTTCCCTTTACTTCTCAACTCTCCAAAGAACTCCAACTCCTACTCCTTCCCAGCTCTCCAATTTAACTGTTTTAATTGTTTACTCATGAAAGTTTTTCCACTACTTCGTTATTGGGGTATTAAAATACTACTGATTTTTGTATGTTGGTTTGGTATGCTGCAACTGAAATTGTTTACTAGCTATAAGATTTTTTTTGTAGAATCTTTAGGTTTTTGTACATATAGGATCATGTCACCTGCAAACAAGGACAGCTTGATTTCATCTTTTGCAATCTGGATGCCTTTTATTTCTTTCTCTTGCCTGATTGTTCTGACTAGTATTTCCAATACTATGCTAAAGAGGAGTGGTAAGAGTGGGCATCCTTGTTTTGTTTCTGTTCTTAAGAGAAAAACTTTTAGCTTTTCCCCATTCAGAATGATATTGAGAGTGGGTTTGTTATATGTGGCTTTTAGTGTATTGAAATACTTTCCTTCCATACCTAATTTGCTAAAAGTCTTTATCATAAGGAATGTTGAATTTTGTCAAATGCTTTCTCTGCATCTACTGAGATAATCACATGGTTTTTGTCCTTGATTTTGTTGATGTGATGCATCACATTCATTGACTCGCATATGCTGAACCATTTTTGCATCCTTGGGATGAATCCCAATTGATCATGATCTATAATTGTTTTGATGTGTTGCTGTATTCTGATTGCTAATATTCTGTTGAGGATTTTTGTGTCTATGTTCATCAGAGATACTACTGGCCTGTAATTTTTTGTTGTTGTTGCATCTTTGTCTGGTTTTAGTATCAGGGTGATATTGGTCTCATAGAATGAGTTTGGGAGAATGGCCTCTGTTTCAATTTTTTGGAATAGTTTGAAGAAAACTGTTATTAATTCCTCTTTAAAGGAATACTTGGTAGACTTCAGCAATAAAACCATCTGGACCTGGACTTTTCTTTGTTGGGAAACTGCTGATTACTGCTTCAATCTCATTATTGGTCTGTTCAGGTTTTCTAAGTCTTCTTGGTTCAGTCTTGGTAATTTGTATGTGTCCAGAAATTTATCCATTTCCTCCAGGTTTTCAAATTTGTTGGCATATACTAGTTTGTAATAGCCTCTAATGATTCTTTGCATTTCTGCATTATCAGTTGTAATATCTCCTTTTTCATTTCTCATTTCTGATTTTTATTATTTGGGTCTTCTCTCTCTCTCTCTCGCTCTCACTCTCTCTCTCTCT